TAGTTTTAATAAATTTTATTTGAATCAAGCAAATGAATATTTTTAGACTTTAGAAAGATGTTTCTACTTTCTTCTTTGGCTTTTGTGCTTTTACCAAATCGAATAGATACTGAGTATATCAGTAATAGCGTTAAGGCAAATTAAGAGAAAAAAAATTACTGAAGCAAGTTATTTTAAATTGCATTTCTTGAATTAGACTATATCATGATAGCACTCTCTGTTCAATTTCAAATTACTAAAAGTATTCACTGAATTACATATAGTATCGTTAGCTACATTTGAGTTTTTTTCTTTTTCTTTTGAGCTGTTTTCTTTACAAGAAGTCTTTATACAGCATTAGTATTTGCTGAACATATCCTCCTGAAGTTGCATTATTTCTATTTTACATTGTTTCTTTTCAGCAGTTTTTAAATGAACAAATTCGTCAATGTTTTCCTTTTTTATGATTTTAAATTTTAAAAGTTGTTTGCTTTTCAATCTTCCAAAAGTATTAAATTGTTTTTTGGTAGTTTTACAGTTGTTTGGTGTCCAGGAGGTACAAGGTCTTACTATGTAGATCAGATTCATAGCGATCCTCCTGTTTTCAGCCTCCCAAGCGATGGGATTACAGGCCCACGGCCCACACTCAGTCTCAATCACTGTCTCAGCATGCTGGGGGTGGGGCCGGTGCGGCACACTCGGGATCAATCCCCGGCTGCTGCGCTCTGCTGAAGCAGGAACTTTAGTCCACTAAGCTGTCTGGCCAGCCCTCTATTCTAGAGTTTTTAACTGAGTATTTTAGAATCACTGTTATAGAATATTATAGTAGTCTATATTTTTCAAATAATAATAATGCCAGCATAATTTACACATTATTTGGTGCTTTCATTAACTGTGCATATATATTCATATATGCTATCTCTTTTTATATTCACATATACTTAAGCCCACGTATAGTATAATATTATCTTAAACTTTTACTATTGTAGATTGTACATCTGTCTAGAAATTTTTATATTTAGTTATAATACCATACATTTTAAGTTAACATTGCTTTATTCTTTTTTAATCATTTATTTATTTATTTATTTGATACAGGGTCTCGCTACACAGGATGGACTGCAGTGGTCCTCCTGTCTCAGCCTCCCTAGCACTGGGATTACAAACTGTGCCACCATGCCCCATTTCTGTGGCCAGCAGGGTGTGCCCAGAGTTCTGGGGATGGCACAGCATGAAGTGCCAGAGATGGAACCTGGGTCCTGTGTTTCCCAAGCAGTTACTTAGACCATTGAGCTATCTCCCCAGTCCTAGTGCTTTAATCTTAACGAATTGCAACATTATATGTTAGTGCACATTCATTTTCCCCTTTTCATATATTCTAAACTGTTCTTGTCTGTTTGCTTTTCTAAATTAACTTTACAACAGTTTCTGTCATGCTTCAAGGAAGAAAATCATTGGTAATATTTGACATTTAGAACAATGTTAAATATACAAATTAATTTATAAAATCGGATAACTTCATAATTTATTTGGATTTTTCTGAATCATCTGACACTTACCGAATTTTTTGATAATTCCCCAGGAAGGGTTGAAGGAAACATAATTCTCAACTCACCTGATTTCTCCCTTCCCTCAGAAATATGCTCTACTTACCTTCCCTGTGTTTTCATAGTTACAGATAATGTTCTGTCATTCCACAGTTTGTGAGACCCTTCTCCAAAATGTTAAGATTTTATCCTTTTCTTTTTTAAAAAAAAATGTATTTTGTTGTCGCAAAGTCTCACTATGCAGTTCTGACTCATGGTGATCCTCCTGGTTTCAGCCATCCCAGCTCTGGGATTACAGGTGTGGGCCACTACGCCCCCACTCTGGCCAGCCCAGCCTGCCCTGGGGGTGGAGCTGGCAGGTTCTGTGGTGCCAGGGATAGAACCATGGTCCCCGCGCTTGCCTAAGCAGGAGCGTTAGTCCGCTGAACTATCTTGCCGACCCCAAGAATTTAACCTAATTTAACTTCCTTAGATTAATAAGCACCTTGAAGGAAGGCATTAAACTTCAAAGCTGTTCTTCATGATTTCTTCACACCTGAGATTCAACTTTGAAATCTCGAAATCTCAATTTTGAAAGAAGGATGTTGAATACAAAGACATAATTAACATCTAGGCTACAGATAAATTTTTTAAAAAGTCTGGTCTGATTCATAAATAATCATAAAGAATCATGAAGAATCAGTGACTGTGGAGATAACTGTTTAGGGTCGTTGCAGAAAATGTTTTCCTTGCTGCAGTTTTGTGTGATTTGTACAACAGGAACTCACATTTGACCCATAGTGCCAGCTCATGACTCAGTTCCTAGTATTCCTTTTAACACTGTTAAGATGTCTGATATCTAGTTCTTTGTATCTTAGGCCCAATCTACATCTCAGTACATTTTCTCAGAAGCACGACTGTCAGTGGCTTTCTCTACATCATTCACCCTCCATTGTGCAACATACATACTTTGTGCCAAGCATGGTTTGTGTCTGTTGCAAATATTTCATTTATTCATCAGAATAAGTCTGGAAAGTACATATTATTCTACATTGACACCTAATTTTTCTAAGATTCTTGTTCCAAATATCCATCAAAACATGAAGTTTTCTGTCTAGATGATATCTAGATGATATCCACAGTCCTGTTTAATTCTAGAACCTGCAGCCCCTCATTGGATCCTTGCTGGTACTCTCAACTGGCTTGCAAGGGGAGCTTGGGGTGAAATTGTGTACTTCCTGTGGTCAGTACCTAAAAATAATTTGGATGTCTGCTCTTACTCCCCACAGCACTGCTAGTAGTCTGTTACTTCATTTTTCTGTTTATCTATTTGTTTATTCACCCAATTTGAACTTTGATTCTGACATGTTTGTCAAGAATGAACATAAAGATTTTATTATTATTTGAAGGCTTATAAAAATGACTGCCATGGGAAGCTAGATTTCTAGAAGCAGTCTCTTAAAATCAGTGTTAATACTAATGTAGGCAATGTGACTTTTTTTTCTTAGTGTTGATAGCCAAAGATTTTGGTCAAAATGATTACAATTTAGAGGAAGATCTTTTACTACTACATATCCACAAACTGAAACTTCGAACTCTTACTTTATGCAAGAGCTACTAGACAAATCAAATCAAAAGACAGGGAAACGGTGCACCATTGAAACAAACCATAACTTTACTAATGAATTAATAAATCTTTAAAACCATGTGGATACTATTATTTCAAAAGACTTATGTTACCCGATTTGTCATCCTACCTATTCAGAGTGAAAAAAATCTTCCATCAGTCAAAGTGCCTAAGAAAAGTCTACATTATAATTTTCTCTCTAGTTTCATGATATCAGTACTTAGGAAGAATGGGAAAACTTTATAATGTCTATAGAGCAGATGTGACCTTTCAAAAAACCTGGTAGCATCTTTATTGATAGACTGAAATGATTAGCTTCAAGTTTAACAAAATTCAGGTATGATAAATTTAATTTTTGGGCAGGAATATTTAAAAAATTGTGGATCATAAACAATGTGCCATGGAACCCTTGACTATTTTCTGCCAAAAGGGACTGTGTTTGCCAAAACCTGAATTTTCAAGATTCAAAGAATTTTACTAAAAAGCAAAGGCTCTGCATTCCCTTTTTAGAAATTATGAATAAATAAATTTAAGAAAAGTGCAATTCTTCTGTACGAAAGTATACCGTGTAGGAAGAAGGAGGCAAGCTGTGTCATTATATTCACCTTTAGCAAATGGAGCTCTTCTGATATACTCATTTTGATGTTGAGTTTAGATAATAAGTGAGGAAATATTTCTATGAAGTAACAGAAAAATCATTAGTTTGAAATAGAGCTCCCAGAAGAAAATGGGACAAAAACAGGAGAGGAAAACAGACACAAACCTTTCATGAACAAAGAATCACACAGATGTTTGTCCTAGTTTACCAAATTTCAACAGCAGTTCTTTTACTGAGATAATTATTATTAGAATTTTTGGTTAAAAATTATGCTGCATTTTTCCTAATGCTTTCATCATTTACATTGTATTGGATACTATATCTCAACAGGATGGAACCAGCTGAAATCTATGTGAATACTGCCTCATGGATGGCCATGCGAATGTGCTATTAACTGAATCGAGTCCTGTGTAGATTTCATTACACCAACACATACAGAAAACAATTTCCGAAGTAACTCTCACAATCATTTTGAATAATTAAACCTCTACTAAATAGCAAAGACAATCATTACTGATTGCTTTAACCCACAAATTCTGGGCTCTCTTTTCCTTGCCTTGAAAAATTCCCCATTTTTTGGATGCAAATCAGTCCAGGAGTGAGTGTGGGTAGGTGTTTTCTCTGTAGTGGGAAACAAAATAATGTGTTTGCCTGACTTAGCGTCTCCATTACAGATGCCAGAGATAATGATCTGACTTACAGATACAAGCAAGTGCTCTTTAATTGTCCACTTAGCTGTTGCTCTCAGATTTCTCTTAGCTTTTATGGGGTTAGTCAGCAACACTGAAAAATGAAAATACAATGAAAAAGGGAACTGTAGAGCAAGCAGTTGCTAATATACTGGTCCCATAGTTTAAACATGGACAGACAGACAGATAGACATAGAGAAAAGGAGAATAACAGAACTGAAGACCTTTGTATAAACTAATGAGAGTAAGAAAGCTGGGACAAGTGATGAAGAATTTAGTGGATAGTCGTGCTCCAGTGACAAAATCATCACGAGCTAAAATTGGCCAAGTATAATGGAAGGAAGAAAAAAATGGCATGAAACAGGCTCCTGTAAAGTCTTTCTGTTATTAACCTTACAGGTAGTATCAAAATGTACAGGTAGATTCTAAATATTATGGAACTGTAAAGTCATTTCAATTTTAACATTGACGGTACTTTATATTTACTGTTTATGGTTTTGCAGTGGAACTATATTTACATCATAGATGGAAAGTCGAAAGCACATGTTGTTTTGTCTTATGTGTTTTTTCCTTTTCAGCAGAAATACAATGATACTATGAATTTTATGAGACTTATGAGCAAACTCAATACATTCATCTATGCAGTCTATTGATGGGAAATAGCATCAGGTATATCAGTTTCAACACTGACAAGCAAAAGAAAAATGTGATTCAAAGAAGAGATGAACTCAATTGGTAAGAAAATATTTGTTTTATACATTTCTAAAATAAATGTAAATGCCATACTTTAAAAATGTCAAACATGAGAACATATTCTTATTTTTGTCCGAAGCCACAGCACATTCATATTTGAGAATGAACACCTTCGTGTTTGAGAAAGATGCATTTGCATGGATATTTAAATTGCCTTCTGTGTACTTAAAAAGTAAAATTTAGGTGTCACTGCAAAAACAACACTTCTGGTATTTTGAGCTCTGCATTAGGAAGCTGTCAACCTCTTGAAGACCAAAATCATGTTTGGTCTACATTTTCATTGTTTTTTGAACTCACTTGGTCATATTCTTACTTTCTATATAGACATAGCCTAGATTTATAGGTACTATGCTTATTTTAATTTCTAAATTCAAATTATATCATCAGAAATATGTGCCAACTCGTCAAGGTTTTCTTTTATAAGATATTTTTTTCTTTAGAATAGATTTAGTTTCATAGCAAACTGAGTAAAAGGTATAACAAGAAATACTTCCCCCCATACAGTCTTCCCACACTCAGGCGTCTCTGTTCCCAATTTGAACATCCTCCTCCAAGCCACACATTTGTTATAATTAATAAACCTACATTGACACATCATTGTCACCTCAAATCCATACTTTACGTTAGGGTTCACTTTTGGTGTGCATCGTATGGGTTTGAACAAATTTATAAACATATACATTCACTATTATAGCATAATACAGAGTAGTTTTACTGCCCTAAACGTCTTCTCTGTCTGATCTTTCCCACTTCCTTGTAATGGCATCAATAGATCTCTTCACTATTTCCACAGTTTTGTTCTTTCCAGGATGTTGGAAATTAAAAACATGTAGGATATTTCATTTAATTTCACTTAGTAGTATAGGTTTAAAATTCTTTGGTTTTTAAAATAAAATTTTAAAAAAGTGCTCTATGTCTTCTCATTGTTTGAACTCATTTCTTAGTGCTGAATAATATTTCATTATTTAGATGTGTATTGGTTGATTTATATATTCACTTGTGAAAGAGTGTTTTGTTTGCTGCCAAATATTGGCTATGATGAATAAAGCTGCTATAAATATCTGTGTATTTGTGTGTATTTGTGTGTGTGTGTGTGTGTGTGTGTGTGTGTGTAGTTTTTCCGTTCTTTTGGGTTAGTACCAGAGAGCATGATTATTTAACAGTATGATAAAACTTTCTTAGTTTTATGAGAAATGTCCAAACTATCTTTCCAAGGGACATTTTGCATCTGACAGTGGTTGTGGTACTCTATATTCACATCAGGACTTACTATCAATATGCTGAATTATGTCCATTCTCCTAGGTACAGAATAGCATAAAATTCTAGATTTAATTTTTAATTATCTAGTGGGATATGTTGAACTTCATTTTATTTAATTTACGAGGCTTGTCCACATTTTTGTTATGTTTTTATTCAGATCTTCAGCCCAAATTTTAGTTGGGTTATCATTACTTACTCTTTAGTTTTAAATGCTTGCTTGAGCAGCACATATACTAAAATTGTTGAGTTTTAAAGGATCTCTGTATATTTTTTATAACTATCTTTTATGAGATGTGTTATTTTTCAAACATTTTCCCTTATTCTGTAACTTTTTTTTCATTTTCTTAGCAGAGTCTTTCATGGAAAAGCACTTTTTTGTTTATAATGATGTTTAGTTTCTCAACTATTTCTTTTCTGGTCTATGACTTTGATGTTATACCTATAATCATTATCAAACCAATGCTTTTTTTGCACTTAGATCTGTTGTTCATTTTGAATTAAACTTCTGTAAACGATGTAAAGGAGTTGACTACTTTTTCTTCTTGGAGCTATCCAGTACTTCCTAAACCACTTGTACAAAGTGCTATATAATTCTGTTATGCTACTCTTCTTCCTTTGTCGAAGATTTGCTGACTATAATTACATGAATGTATTATATTATACATATGTAATTATACTATTTTATTTACATGGATGTATTTCTGGTCTCTGTATTGTTTCATGTATGTTTGTCTATTGTTTTGACAGTGCCATACTGCGTTGATTACTGTAACTTCATAGTAAACTTTGACATCAGGACAGGCACTATTCTTGCACTTATTCAATATTGTGTTGGTTCTTCAGGTTCTTTTGTCTCTTCATATAAACTTTGTTGCTGGCCACAAAATAAGTTGCATGGATATAATTCGAACTGCACTGAATTTACACATTAAACTGGGAAAAATGGCAACTTTACAGCACGTCTTTCTGTCTTAGCTGCTTTCTCATCACTGGGTCTCCCACAACCTAAGAGGGAAATTTATCCTGGTTCTCAGCTTCAGCCCATGTTTGGTTGGCTGCAAGGCAGGACAGCATGGTAGAGGAAAAGCTTCTCATACACTGGTGACTCAGAAGCAGAGAGCCAACCACTGAGCTGGGACGCGAGATGCATCCATCTGGGTCACATTCCCAATATAGAGTGTCTTCCTAGCAGATCTCACCTCCCATAAGCCAGTCAGCTATGCATCCCATAATCCAGTCACCTTCTCAATGCCCTGCGTCTGAGAACACTAGATCATTGGTATATCTAGATATGAACTATAACACTATCTATGGACAGAGAAATTTGCAAGAATTTTGCAAAGAAATTTGCAAATTTTTGCAAATGATCATGGCAGCAATGAATTAAGACAGTTTCATTATTTATTTTTAATTTATATTTGTCTCTTTTCTTTCTTTTTTTTTGTCTTATTGCATTGGGCAGAATTCTATTACCATGTTGAAAAGCCACAAGGGACAAAAGTATCCATTGCTTGATTTTGATTTTATCAGGAAATTTCTACTTTCCCACCATTAATTGTGTTGTTTAAAGTGTACTCTATTTTTGTAGATATTCTTTATCAAGTTGAGGAAGGTCCAGCTCTGCTCCAGGGTTGCAAAGAGGTGTTTTTATAGAATTACAAAATTTATCAAATTCTTTTGAAAAATATTCATTAACGTGTATCTGTAATTTTTCTTTTGCTGCTGTAATGGGCTATGTCATTCTGAAGATCCAATCAGTGTACAGATACATCTCACTGGGTCACAGCATACAATTCTTATTTATTTTGGCACCAGGAATGAAACTCAGGACCTTTGATTACCAGGCATGCACTTGGGCTGCTGACCTATATCCCAGGCCCTATGGCATGTAATTCTTTCCACATAACATTAATTCAATTTGCTGATATTTTGAAATAATTCTGTAAGCATGTTCATGAGACATGTATGTTTGTACTTGGTATACTCAGCATTTGGTACTAGGTTAATGCTGGCCTCACTCTATTTTAATCATCTAAACAAGATTGGAGAGAACTGGTATAATTTCTTCCTTAAGTGTTTGGTAGATATCTTGGTTACTTTTCTCTCATTCCTGAGGGAACAGAGGCAAAATACCTGTTCCCAAGAATTAAGGAATAAAGGTTTATGTAGCTCACAATTTGTGGAAGTTTCAGCCCACACTCAGCTGGTTCCAAGGCAGGATAATATGGCACAGGGGTAACAGCCCAAGTGGGCAGAAGACAGCGAAGCAGCAAGAGCAAAAGGGGTGGGGAGAGAAAGCCTCTTCCTCCCTCATGTTGTATGCAGGCATCCTGCCCACACCACTGTTGTGGATTCAGATGGTTTAATAGGTCTAGGTATATTATCAATTTCTTTTGATGTGGGTGTTGACAGATTTCATCTTTCAAGGAATTGGCTCATTTTACTGAAGTCATCAGATACGGACATACAGCTGTTTGCAGTATTTCTTCATTAGCTTTTCCCTGTCTATGAACTTTTGTAGCAATACTTCTGCTTTTATTTATGATAGTTGTAAATTTTGTTATTCCCTTTCTCTCTTATACTAGGCAGAAACTTCTACATTTTACTGATATTTTCAAAGAAGTAACTTTTGCTTTTGTTGAATTTATTTATTTATTTATTTACACCAGCAATTGAACTTGGCACCTTGTGCTTGTCAGGCAGGTACTTAGGCCTTGGAGCTATCTCCCTAGCCCGATTTTTCTATATTGATTTCATATTTTCAATTTTATTGACTCCTGCTTTAATTTATTATTTATTTCCTCTACTTATTTTGGACTTAATTTGTATTTCTTTTTCTAGTTGCTTGAAGTTTATTATGATTACATATCTTATTCTTTTAGAATACATGCATTTTAAACAAATTTTAAAAAGAAAAATAGAATATAAGTATGAAATGCTCCAAATTTTCTCATGACAATGTTGTCACTGTGTCCCACAACTTTTGATAAGTTGCTTTTTAAAAGGTTTTCAGGGCCAAATAACTCAGTGGATTAAAGTGCCTGCAAGCAGGTGCAGGGGCTGGGGGTTCGATCCCTGGGCCTGCTGTATTGGTGCCAGCCCTGGGGCACGTTGAGATGGCAATTGAGACTTTGTGTGGTGTCGTGCACCTATAATCCCAGCTCTTGGGAGGGAGTAAACAGGCAGATCACTATGAGTCTGACCTAGTAGTGAGACCCTGAACACTCAGTAGACCTTTCCCTTAAATACAAAAAAAAAAAAAAAAGTTTTCATTTAGTTCCTATTTTTTTAAAAGCATTTCATTTGAGTTTTATTTTGATCTTGTTCTTACCTAGAAGTGAATAGTTGGAAGTGAATTTGGAGAATATCACCAAATATTTTGGAATTTCAGAGCTGTGTCTTTGCTAGGGCTTTACTGTTTAATTCCATATTGACATGAATATAGACATTGTTTACTTTCTATGCTCTTAAATTTCTTATGGTGTTTTATGGTTCAGAATGTGCTGTATATCACTGAATGCTCCCTATGTGCACTTGAAGTGAATATATATATATATATATATATATATATATATTCTACTATTGTTGGGTTAGTCTACAAATGCTCATTACTTCCAATTGACTGATGGTGTTGAGCTCATTTATGCTCATACCTGTTGAATCTGCCCATTTCTAAAAAAATGATACACTAAAGTCCCCAAGCATAGTAATGGATTCTTAT